GAGTGTAAAATAAACTCCATACTAGTAGAGAACACGTACGTAACTGAAATTTAATAAAGTATTTGGTACCAGACTACAGGTTATAGAAAACTTTAGGAACTGGTTGTAAAACTCAGCCTTACTGGTTTCAACATGTCCAATAAAAGATCTGAGCCACAGAGTAATAAAATGCCTGTTTGGTTCGGAGCTATCGTCACTTTAAATTAAGAATATTTTCACAATCACCTTATTCCTAAAACAGACCCCTGTGCAGTTTTCATCCTGCCTTTACTCTTTCAGGCTTGTGGGTGTTTGTCTAATATTTCCTCTTCTTTGGCTGCTTTTGGGCCAATAAATTCTGTATGCAAGCGATCGCCTGTTGATCGTTCTTTAGCTGAATGCCTGTCGTCTCATGAATAAATTGCACCACTTAGACATTTTCCTAACAGCTGGATTTGCTTTGTTTACATGAGTTAGGTCCCTGAAAATGGCGGCGTGGGTGAGCAATATAAAACTTTACGTGTCCGTGTGGCGGCTTGACGTGACCACAGACAGATCTACACATGAACGGCTCAACGTCTTATTTCTGCCTTTGTTTGTAAGTTTTTGTAACCCCTGAAATGGTTTTACTGTTTATTTACCTTTTTAAAGTTCAGATCGTTTGAAACAGTTTTTAAACTATGCGAGTTGAAAGTAGGTTTTTGGACAGCTGCAGTTTGGATAAATCGTTTAGTTCTGACCAGATTGATGAGCCAACGACGAGTCTGAGTGTGAAGAGCAACAAGGACCGCTGTCGTCTTAAAGCAGCTTAAACAACGATTCACACAAACGCTGCTTCATTGACCTTTACAACGTTCTCAGTTTCACATTATATGCCATTTCTCTGCAGCCTGAAGAACTTCCTGCAGGCCTTTCACAACATGTCTACTGGAACACTGATCTTATGTGAAACTGATGGGGACGTAAAGGTATTTACAGTTTCACACGAACCGTGGTGAAATATTTATGATAAGAGCCGTTTTAGGAGCACAGCGATCATTTTGAATCAGTGTTAGCTCAGATTAGCTGTTAGCTCATCAGATTGGTCTGTTGAGGCGACAGGTTTTTGAGATTGGCATCAGGGTTGCCAGATAAACACAAGTCTTTTTTAGCTCCTCCTTTTCTGTGCACATGTTCACTAAACACAGCACACACCTCATTTTATAACACCCTCACTCTGCACATATGGGGCAAAATACAATAAAGCTGCAGTGCAGTTATTGTTTTTATCTGGCAACCCTGCCTGGCATAAAGCGTTTTCAAGCAAACCTGCTTTTTTTTTATTCATTCGTCCCAAAAGACATAAAATTAAATTTAAAAAAAACACCGACATCCCCAGAGATCGTTGCCTTAAAAAGTTATTTAAATTGAAGTTGTTTAAAAAGCAATCTGCAACAGGTAAGATACTGTTTCCACAGACTCCATACTCCAAACATAGACTAAATTCACACATTTAATTCAACTGATTTACTCCAAGTATTTACATATTGTGTAAAAAGGAGCAGAGTATCTGAAGGACTGTAAGACTTCAGCCACCTGAAGCACCTGCTTGATTTTGTGTTGAAGCACTGATGGAAAGAAAAAAGGTCAACACCCTGTAATTATCACCATAATTCACACCGTGACCCAAATTAATGCTGCGATTCTATTTCAAATTTTATAAACTAATAGTTTAACAGAAAAAAAGCCAGTTCCACTCAGCGAGGTCAGCTCCATTATTTACGGCTGAGAGAAATCATTTCAGAAACCGTCCTCCAATCTGTCATTTATTCACAGAATTGTTATTTTTTCTATGTTTGTCCTTTTAGCACATTAACACTCTTGTTAAATTTAAAAAGTGAGGGATATTTTTTCCCTCCGAGTGCACATCTTAGCACGTCTGACTGTTTATTCACCTGCAGTGTCACTCCTACTGGCTTCAATAAAGAGGAATACATTTGGCCGCTGTTTATTTTGTCCGGTCTTCATCTGAAATGCTGCGTTGTCAATCACCGCCACGTGGAAATCCTTTAATCACTGCCCAGTAAAAGCTAATCCGATGGGCTGGCTGTGCTGCTGGAACCAGTATATGACTGACTGTTAGGATTATGTATTCATACATAACTAAGTTGTGATTTCACTGAGGTGTCGTGTCTTTAAACCCAATAAGACGTGATCCGATTGGTCGGGTCCAATAAGGTCTAATGTGGTTGGTTCGTATGTAATCTAATCTGACAATAAAAAGAAAGAAACCGACTGCTCTCCGGTGGACTGGAGGCACTTGAAATGCTTTTACCTGGACCGGGCTCGGTTTCAGCACGTTTGGCTCAGCCTCAGCTCCGAAACAAAAGGCGAGCGAGCTTTCCAGCAGGTATTTCCCAGTCTTCCTCTGCTCTGTGCCAAGAGCAGCAGCCGGTAGGAAACTTTGCCCACATCCCTCTGCAAGGCAGCCAAAACCACCCCCGTCCTTTTCCCTAACAGGTGCGACACATCCCCCGTGTGCTCTTTCAACAGTAAGAGGTTGTTCCAACTGCTTGTTACTTATTATTTTCTGATTAATAACTGAAAATAAATTGAAGAAAACATCGGTACCACTTTACAATAAGGCTCCCCTTAGAGAAGGCTAATAAAAAGTTTATAGATACGTCATTAATTATTCTATAAACACGTTATAAATCATTAACAACTGCTTATTATGCATTATCTAAGGGTGACAGACAGAACTGACCAGTTTCTTGCCAAATAGACACAAATCTGTTCATCTATAAATTTAATTTAGTTATATTAAACATTTCAGACCAGCTACCTTGTAAGCACAATAACCATTTGTAAACCCATTTCTTTAGCATATGTTGTACTTTATTACTGCATTATAAGTATATACAACTAATATTGTATCCTAAAAAAATAGGTTTACAAACGCGTATTGTGCTTACAAGGTAGTAACTTTGTCTGAAATGTTTATTCTAACAACTCTAGATGAAATATATAGGTGAACAGATTTGTGTCACTAATTGACAAGAAACTGGTCAGTTTTGTCTCCGTCACCCTTAATTAATGCATAATAAGCTGTTAATGATTTATAAAGTGTTTATAGAGGAATAAATAATGCATCTATAAACTATTTATTAGCCATCTATAAGTGGAGCATTATTGTAAAGTGATACCAAATATTTTAATATTTTATAAAAATGTCCACAAAAGATTAAAAGCTACAGCCCCCCCACAAAGATTTATGAAAGATGATAAAAAGAGGTGAAACACATTCGTTCACTGCATGCTCCGGTCATCAACAGGGTCCAGTTGATGCAATCAGACCGTGAATATCTAGTCACAGATAATCAGTGCTCGTCTAGAAGAGGACGTGCATGGGTTTTATTAGCTGTAGCTAGCTCCAAGGAGAATGAACAGTTGGACAAATAGTATCTAAAGCACTCTACACCAAAGCAAACCAAGAACGGCTGCCTCACACGACGACGGGACCTTTAAGCCCGTTTGGTTCAGGGCGTGGAAAAGTTTAAGCGAATCTACGGCTGCAGTGGAGAAAAGTGGCCTTCATGAAACCCCCGAAGGTCCAGTTCTGGCTCAGGAGGTGGGTGCCATATTATTTGCTTTATTTAACTTTTATTCTTTGCAGAATATTTAGCTTCTTTTGTTTTTGAACAAAGATTTTCCCTTCGAAAAACTGTCAAACTATGAAAATAAGCTTCTTGCAGTTGTAGGTTTTTGTAGCCTTTTGCTACATTTAGTCAACTTTTAGTAGCTTTCAGCTAGCCTTTAGCTACATTTAACTTTTGGCTCGTGTTCTTTCAGCTTTAAAAACTTAACTGCAGCTTCATTAGTAAATTTCAGCAGGTATTCAGAAAACGAGTCATAGTTTTAAATCCAGCACAAATCTTTTTTTGCTTTTTTAGATAATGAGTTAACCCTCCTGCTGCCCTTGGGTCGTAAAGGGCTCGGTTTTAAATCGGGTGCTGAAACAGCTGCTCCACTCAGGTGTATCTCACGTGTGAAGCAGTCAAATGCAGAACTCATTTCATCATTTTATGGACACGTACAGTGGTAATCACTTTCAACCGAGGCCCGTTTGACCCAAAGGCAGCAGGAGGGTGAAGACGATGACCTGAGAACAGAAAGCAGCTACGTTTGGTGAAACGATTCATCCGTGGCTGCAGGACAGTTTCTACACGTCTCCATCTCAAATTATAAGAAGAAGGATGGATGGAACCGTTTTAGCTCCTTTACTGAAGACAGGCGGACTTCAAATAATCAAATGTGGACAAATGAGAGCATTTAGCTTAAATTAACTTCAGATATTAGACTCTTCTTACAGCATCTCCATTAGGAAACATTTTGTAACATTTAAAGAGTTTTAATTTATCTACAGGCATTTTCTGTTTCGCTCTTTCTATAAGTTTACAGAAACTTTCAAACTCAAGTACAAGAGTGAGAAAGACGTTTTTCTGTCACTTCAAAAAAGAATTAGCTCGTTATGAAAGATAAATCTGATTATTGTGATCGTTAGCTGGAGGTTTGAGCAGACGGAAAGGACAAGAATCAAAAACAAGAACGGTGAACTCGGAGAAGATGAAACAGGTTTTTACAGCACGTGATGATAATTAACAAGTTATTAAAATGTTTAAAGACCTTTCCAAAACTTTTCTCTCCACGTAAACACTGAGGTCTGTAGAGCCGTAGTTTTTTAGCTCAAGTCTTTCTAGGAAATCTTTATTTTATGTTGAAGCATCTTTGTTCAGAACATTTGCCATCTCTTTAAATTGCTCCTTCTTAGACTCCGGGGTTCCTCGGGAACTTTTCGTTCTCAGAGAGCAGATAAGCAGCTGGTTGGGGGGGGCAGATGAAAGCGGAGTGGAAGCACAGCAGAAACCTCGTCTCTTTAACCTCAAACCAAGAGGACCATGTGACATTCCACCTGTTTATCTTCTACTTTCTGTCACATTAACTGTTTTTTTAAACGTGGCATCAGCTCAGGTTCTACTCACCCAGCATGGTGAGTGTGGTGGTCCCCTGCTCGTTCCCCGAGGGGTAGGTGGCGTACTCGCAGGTGTAGCGGCCGGCGTCCGACATCCTCAGGTCCTTAATCCTGATGGACGGGTTTTCCAAGCTGTTCTGGAGGAAAATGACTCGATTTCGAAAAGCCGGGTTGGGAAAGCTCTGCCCGTACGTCGGGTGGAACACGGCGATGTTGTCCCGCTGGCCATCAACAGGTTCCCAGATCCAAGACACCTGAGGAGGACGGGACTTTGTTAGTCCTCATCAAACAGCAGCACTAAAGGTCCAGTTCAAGAATCTTTATGGTCATTCTCGCCAAGATATACACCAAGATATACGCCAAGATATACACCAAGATATACGCCAAGATATACACCAAGATATACGCCAAGATATACACCAAGATATACGCTAAGATATACG